TTATTACGTAGATGTGTGTGAACATGAGCCAACTGATAGCCTGGCCAACTCATCATTGATGACGCAGACTGCCAATCAACCATTACCTACTGGCATACAACTTGCACACAATTTAACTGCTGATTTAACCAGATTTAAAATCATGACAAGTTATTGCTCTGGTGTCTGAATAAAAGCATCAACAAAATAAAAAAAAAGTTGCTGTTTTCTATGTAATTAAGAAAGATGTGACCAGATGTAATATCTTAGGTTGTGTGGATGTTGGCATAGGAGATTGGTCTAAACTTTCTGACCTTTCGAATTCTTGTCTAGTGGCGCAATGTTTCAATCTATTAGCATGAACTTGGAATTGTTTCTTTGTTTGAATGTTTTCGATAAGGAACGTGACAGGACTTAATTTGGATATGATACGAAATGGGCCGGACTATCGGGGTGCTAATTTCCTTTTTAATCCTTGAGGTAGGAAAACCTCGTTAAGGAAGACTCGATCTCCCACCTGATATGTAGGAATTTTATGGGTTCGGTGATGTATTTTTTGGCATTCTCTGGCTGCTGCTTCAGCGTATTCTTGTGCCAATTGATGTGCACTGGCCATTCGAAGGTGGAGTTCCGATGCAAAGTTACCTTCTACATCGTATTTAGTTTGGGTCAGACAGGTGACAAGGCCAAAGGGTTAAATTGGGTCTCGTCCGTACAACAGAAAGAATGGACTATCATTCGTAGAAGCATGGACAGTAGTATTATATGCAAATAAGGCATATGGAATCCATTCATCCCAATCTCTTTGGTCTTTGGCTATGTAGTGTGAGATAATATCAACAAGAGTTTTACTGAATCTTTCAACTATCCCATTACAGGCAGGGTGATAGGCGGTTGTAAGAAGTCTCTTAATATGAAGCAATTCGCATACTTCCTTGAACATCTTGGAGATTAAATTAGGGGTTCAATCTGTAAAAAGTTGTACAGGAGTTGAATGGCGTAAAATGATGTTGGTAATGAAGGCCTTGGTTATAGTTTTGCTACGAATATTGGGTAAAGGTATTGCTTTTGCATATCGGCTGAAATGGTCGACAAAGACTAAAATGTATTTATTTCCGTTGGTTGTAATAGGCAAAGGACCGATAATGTCCATAGCCGTCCATTCAAACAAATGTGTGAGGGGAGCGAATAGCCGTAGTTCAACTTCTGTTCGTTTGTCTTTTCGCTTGTGTATATACATAAAAACTCATTGCCAAGAATGTCAACAAGTTTTTATGTTTTTATTCATGCCAATAAAATAAGGTCTGGAGTTTTTGTTAGATTCTTTGTGCTACCAAATGTCCTCCAACAGGAGTATCATGATAAGTATGTAATATATATGGGATCAGGACAGATGGAATAACTAATTGTTCTAGGAAGTCTCCTTGATTGATAGGTTGTAAATGATAAAGAGCTCCTTCCACATCTAGGAAGAATTGTTCCTTAAGTTTTGGATCTTGAGTGGTTACATCTTCTAGTTGCTGAATTATAGGATTCCGTTTTGGATCTCGTCTTTTGTAAGTCTTGGATTTGGGCTTTGGAGTATAGCGGGTCAAGGTCTTCAGTCTCCAGGATTTGTCGGATAGGAATGCGACTTAAAGCATTGACATTCTTATGATACTCTCCAACTTTATGCCTTACTTCGAACTCAAATTCTTGCAAAAATATAATCCAAGGGGCTATTCGAGACCATTTGCTGAGTGAATTGGTACCTCATTTATATTGCTACTCATAACTTGAAACTAGGAACCCAGAAATAAATTTTTTCATTAACATTATAATGAAACTCTGTTGAACAGTATTTGAAGTCTTGCTGTATAATAATTAATTTAAAATATATAAAAGAATAATATCTTTGATGATAACATTCAAAATTTAATAATACAGACATAAAACTTATTTTATAATAATATTAATTACTGAATATTGATATCAAAGAAATAATTTTTCTAGTAAAAAAAAAAAAAAGGAATCCTTGAAGGGGTCAACAGTCAAAAAAGTTTGAAGACCCAATTTACGCATACCAGTTAACCTAATGTGCACATCTTNCTGAATATTGATATCAAAGAAATAATTTTTCTAGTAAAAAAAAAAAAAGGAATCCTTGAAGAGGTCAACAGTCAAAAAAGTTTGAAGACCCAATTTACACATACCAGTTAACCTAATGTGCACATCTTTGGGATGTGAGAGAAAACCAGAGTATCCAAAGAAAACCTATGCTGACAGGGAGAGAATTTAGGCAACTAGGCACTCGTTTCAGAGTGCCTAGTTTCAACTTATGTGAGTGCCTAGTTTCAACTTATGTGAGTAGCAACATAAACATGTTAGGAGTATCACATGCAGGGCTGGATTCAAGTGGTGTGGAGGGTGCATATGCACTCCATAAAATCAAAATTCTAAGTAAAAAAGATATCCATAGTACAGTACATCTACAAAGCTAGTTTGCAAGTACTGTACCAGTTTCAATCCCATGATGCATTGCAAACTGACTTATAATTTTCCCAAAGGGTAGCACTCTAAACTTGCAATCCTCCTACTAGAATAATTATTACCTATTCTTAGTAACACTTGTTTTATTACCTAGAGGTGTGTGAACATGAACCAACTGATAGCCTGGCCAACTCATCATTGATGATGCAGACTGCCAATCAACCATTAGCCCACCAGCATACAACTTGCACACAATTTAACTGCTGATTTAACCAGATTTAAAATCATGACAAGTTATAGCTCTGGTGTATGAATAAAAGCATCAACAAAATAAAAAAAAGTTGCTGTTTTCTATGTAATTAAGAAAGACATTTCGCTTTTCTGTGGCATAATTTTTCTGATAAAATAATGGCACATGTTTGTGAACAAAGCAACTGTGATACAAAAACAAAATAGTTACATTGTTGTTTTACAAGCTTCTTGTCCAGGTTGTATTAACATCTTCAATGTGAGCATAAAATTGCTATAATGGAATTATCATAAAGGAAAAAAGGTGAATGGCATATAATAGGTTTTATTCCAACAGAATATGCATTTCAAGTATACCCAAAATGCATATTCTGTTGGAATAAAGCTATGGTACCAACCTATTCATTGAGACCATTTGCTGAATGAATTGATACCCCATTTATATTGCTACTCATAACTTGAAACTAGGAACCCAGAAATAAATTTTTTCATTAACATTATAATGAAACTCTGTTGAACAGTATTTGAAGCCTTGCTGTATAATAATTAATTTAAAAAATATTAATTACTTGTAATATAAAATTTTTTTAAGTAATGACTGACTGACATAAATATTGTCTAATTGAAACTTTAATGATTTAAACTTTCTATCCTTTGAATTTAAAAATGATAACATTTTATTACAACTAAATTACAATTGAAATTCATTATTTTCTGAAAACTATTTTTTACTAATAAACATAGAATTTAAAATATTAAAAATAACTCCATACTTATAGAAGGTGTTATTTTTAATATTTTTAGTATTATAAAAAGTCAAACAGATATGTCACATTGTCTACTTGATCCTGGTCCTAGTCCTAGTGAATTCTGATCCAAATGAATAATAAAATTATTAAATCTAGAATTTATATGACTTTAAAATTAATTTTTTATTGATTAATTATGTTTATACTTATTTATTATTTACTTACTTATTTTATTATTTATTTAAAATTATCTATTTTTTTTTAGTTTTATAGTATAACTATTTGTTTTTACTCTTAAATACTAATGTAACTAATTTAAATAATTAGACGAAAAGTATTAATATAATCTTTATCATTACTTTAAAAAAAAGGATACTCCACAAAACAAAAACCACAAGGCGTCTTCTTAAATCTATCCAATCCCATCACAACTCTTTTAACATCTCCACATTTGGAAAATAATTCATAGATTTGTTCTTCTGTGGTATAAAAGGAAAGATTACCAACATATAAAGTGCAGCTAATCAACAATAACCTTTCTTGTTCAATTCTACTACCCTAAATTTAGTTAAAAAATATTATATTCAATTGAATGAATTAGTATAATTAAATATAAAGGTTAAAATAAAATTAAAATTTGATAAAGTATTAAATTTATGATCAACATGATTGTAACTTATTTAAATTATATATTCAACTTTTAAATATTCAGACATTTATATGGATAATAGATTATAAACTTTAAGAACAAAGTCTCTCAAAATTGGATATTAATTATTATGCACATTTGCGATCATATCATTTTTATGACATATATTTAATAACTGAAATGATTGTAAATACATCGCATGTACTGACTAGTCAAATGACAGGCATTTCAATAACACAATAATTCCTCTAGCAGTTTCAAAAATATTCTCTTATTAATTATTTCATGCACATCAGTGGCTCTTAAAGTTATTGATCCATGACCCCTCATTCACTTCTTATCCTGTAAATATCACCTTAAATCAGTGTTTTTCAACCTTCTTGAATATGCAACCCCTTTACAAGTTAAAAAATTTTGGCAACTCCCCCGGGGCCATATTAAAACTATATCAGTGATTTTAAAAACTATGTATTTAATTTTCTTTCTGTTGAGACCTAAATATCGATCGAAAAACCAATTGTACTGTAAAATAAACAGGCCCAGCCTTCTCAACAAAATTGTAGGTTTTTTTTATTGTAGTGTAGGACCTACAAACACTTGTCTTTTTTTTACCTGCGACCCACTGTGTAAGGTTTTGCGACCCCTCTGGGGGTCACGACCCACAGGTTGAAAAACACTGCCTTAAATAATGATAGATTGTATGCCAAAACATTTTACTCATCCATAATGCAAGAGATATGCAATGCATGAAAATGTTTTTCTGGCTAAACAGCATAGAACTGAATTTTGAAAATGATTAGAATGGTCTGTGGATCACCTGGTGCTTGCCTGCAAATCACTGGTGGTCCATGATGATACACTGAGAATTACTAATCTATAGTCTATTTTGTTAAANAAAAGGATACTCCACAAAACAAAAACCACAAGGCGTCTTCTTAAATCTATCCAATCCCATCACAACTCTTTTAACATCTCCACATTTGGAAAATAATTCATAGATTTGTTCTTCTGTGGTATAAAAGGAAAGATTACCAACATATAAAGTGCAGCTAATCAACAATAACCTTTCTTGTTCAATTCTACTACCCTAAATTTTTTTAAAAAATATTATATTCAATTGAATGAATTAGTATAATTAAATATAAAGGTTAAAATAAAATTAAAATTTGATAAAGTATTAAATTTATGATCAACATGATTGTAACTTATTTAAATTATATATTCAACTTTTAAATATTCAGACATTTATATGGATAATAGATTATAAACTTTAAGAACAAAGTCTCTCAAAATTGGATATTAATTATTATGCACATTTGCTATCATATCATTTTTATGACATATATTTAATAACTGAAATGATTGTAAATACATTGCATGTACTAACTAGTCAAATGACAGGCATTTCAATAACACAATAATTCCTGTAGCAGTTTCAAAAATATTCTCTTATTAATTATTTCATGCACATCAGTGGCTCTTAACGTTATTGATCCATGACCCCTCATTCACTTCTTATCCTGTAAATATCACCTTAAATAATGATAGATTGTGTACCAAAACATTTTACTCATCCAGTAACATAATGTAAGAGATATGCAATGCATGAAAATGTTTTTTCTGGCTAAACAGCATAGAACTGAATTTTGAAAATGATTAGAATGGTCTGTGGATCACCTGGTGCTTGCCTGCAAACCACTGGTGGTCCATGATGATACACTGAGAACTACTAATCTATAGCCTATTTTGTTAAAAGATATTTCTATTCAAAAGTATAAAATATCATTAAAAAGAATAAGATTTGTTTGCATATATATATGCAAACAAATGTTATTCTTTTCAATGATATTTTATAGTTATATATATATATGGATGGAAAGAACATTCATTTTGTAGTTTTAGATTTAATATTAGAACAAATATCATATGAATTGTGAAAGTAAAAATTCAATGTATTTTAAGAATTCTTCAAACTTAAAATAATTATCTGAATATCAATTTTACAAATGATCTAAGACAAACTGATAGTTACTTATCTAAAGTTTTAAGCAAGGACAGCTTATCAATTTGAATACGTTACACTTTTGACTATCGATATCAAATATAATTTGCTTGTAAATCATTAAAAATAAATTTTTTTTATTAGTTTTACTGTTTATTTTATTTTTTTATTTACAAAAATCTAAATTAACAAAATGTTATATAAAGATTATTGTATATTTTATACTTCTAATATTTTCAATAATTACTGTATATACTTTTTCTTATTAAAAATTTTATAATTATAAAATTATAGTTCTTCAGATTTGTGTTTTCATCTTATGGTTTTATAGTTTAATACTGTGGAATTAATTGTAATTTTAACAGACTTGCTTTTCCTCGACTTATTCAATTCTTTATAACTTATCAATCTCATTATATAACTGAACAATGGCATTTGGATATTTGAAATTTTTGTTGTTACTTTTTCAAATCGAAAATCCAAAATCTCACATAATAAACAACCAATCTCAATAACTTGCACACAACTTTATTTACATAACACTTTTGATCTTTTACAGATCATTATCGGGTCGACACAGTCACACGAACTGAATGTTAGCTTACATTCCACTTTATGAAAAATCAGGTACGCAGTTTACACGTACCCTATTTACGTAACTGCAGACCCAATGATAATCTATAAAAGATCAAAGTACTTAGAAAATGAAGTTGCATGCTGGTTATCAAGGTTGATTATTCACTATAATGCATTAACTAGTTTATTCCTGTTGGAATATTCAAAATCTCATAATGTGAACAGTTACCATTTGGTAATCAACTGAATTAGATCTGTATAGATCTGTCACTGAGCCAATGTTAATTGAAAATGTGATGACTTCAATTTGGCTTTATATATTAATGATAAAAAAAAATAATGATAAAAATCAGATTTGACTCGAGTAAATTTTCGAAAATATTTTTTAATTTAATAAATTGATCATCTGAGATACAAAAATAAGAATTAGAATGTATAATAGAAAACAAGTTGGATTGATATGCAAACAAATTCTAAAAATCATCAGCTTTAAATTGGTTTGAATGCAATTTCACATTAAAAGGCATCGTTATACCTTAAATCGCTGATCTCTGTAGGAACTATGTTCCACTGCCCACTTCCTAGCCATGCTTACTGTTTTCACATGTGATTTTAAAACCAGTGAAATTGAAAACATACAAAATGAGCCGTCCGTCGACTAAATTATTTTCTTTCTTTTTAAACTTGTAATCAATAAAATAAAATATTAATTAAATGATTTTTTAATTATCATTCTAAATATTAAAATTCTATTTAAATTTAATAATCTCACAGTTTCAAATTAAGTATACGATTACATATTTTTTTTTATTAGAAAGAAAAGTTTTTAAATCTTAACGTATTAATTCGTTTAATTTAATATTATTAATTTTAATGATTGTTAATTTTTATTATCGACTAAACTTTTGTTTACGAAAATAAATGCTTTTTTGAGGTTGTAAGGGAAATTGATTATTTTGCATGACGAACATGTGATGGTGTTTGTGTTTAGTGAACTGAGCTGTTGTTGAAGTGTTTAAGTATTGTATGATTTTACGTCATTTTTTAAACATATAATGCGTATTTATTATTGGAAATTAGCTGTAGCTTTACGATTTTTATTAACTGTACTTCCACAAAACGGATATATTCATCCTGATGAATTTTTTCAGACATCCGAAGTCGTTGCTGGTATGAATAAAGATTAACAATTTCATTCTTAATACTTCTTGAATGTTCAGTTTCGGCAAGATTTTATTTCTGCCAGATGTCATCAACTCTGCTAGAATTATGGTTCAAATGCAGCTTTGAATGAGGCATTTGGGTCTTTATCAGAACTGTAGACCATGCTCATAGCAGTAAAAAATGTCAAAGAAACCGATGGTCTACATGTGTCGCTTCGTGAGATACAGCTCGGAAATCAGTCTATTTGTAATCGTCTAGGGTAGGGGTGGCCAACAATTTTTGCCCCCGGGCCAGATTGGAAAGAAAACTTTCCACGGGCCGAACCAGAGGTTGACCTAGGAAGATTTTCAGATGGTGCGAGATCTCACTGTGGTGTCACTCTGTAGAGACTGAATTGTAGATAGAGATTACAGATACATTTTTCACATTATCATGCTTTATTAACACACTATCAACATGTACTTACGAGATTTGTAATGGAGGGTTAACTCTAAACGCACAGTGAGTTGTTGACCTTTTTTTTTCTTTTTAGACGTCAGAATTTTTCATCGAGCTATTCAGGCTTTGATACCTAATATTGAAAGATTGATCGCGGGCCACATAAATTCATTAGATGGGCTGGATCTGGCCTGCGGGCTGTATGTTGGCCATGCCTGGTCTAGGGGATGTAAACCCCTCATTCAGAACTAATTTTACCAAAATTATATTACTGATATTTTTTTCAGCATTTCAAAAAATTAAAACGATAAAATGCTAATAATCTTTATGAGATAATTAATGAGATAACTTTATTCCAATAAAGCGCTTTAATACAAATTTAGTTAAAAAAAAAAAATTAATAGTTGTAAAGATGATCTGCAAAAAAATTAGTTTTTTATTATTTTTCTCTTGTCACTTTTATGTTGGAAACATTGCATTAAAGTTATAAACAAATTTCATTATATTTTTAGACTATTAATAAAAAAATAAATGTTTTTTCTACATAAAAAATTTATTTAAGGTAATTAAGATAACTATTAAATTATTTTTTGAAATTTGACTTAATATGATACAAAAGATGCACTTAAAAGTATAAGAGAAAGATATTTTGGGATCTTTTGTGAAACATTTGATATTCAATGGCTCATTTAATTTGATAATATATAAGCCCTAAATACTACATTTTTGTTATTGTTATAATTTAGAATTTGACATATAAATATATTAATGATTAAATGAATCTTTAACTGAAAATAGTACAAATTACTATTTAACTTGAATAAATAAATGAATGAATGAATAAACTAATGAATAAATAATAATTTAAGATGGTTTAAAAAGAAATGAATCCAAAAATATTTCATGAAAATTCCTTGAAATCAGTTTGGTACTTTTTATGTACTCTTAGGTGTTTAGTAGGGATTTTTATAATCCTAGTAAAATTTTAAAAAATAATGTTCACAGTGAAAGAAGTTGATTGGAAATATTTTAAATCATAATGCAATCAAAGGAAAATAGAACTAAAACTAATTAGTCTCAATATTCAAATGGAGGGCTTAATAAAATAATGTAATTATCTATTTTAACATTCTAAATTGAGTTTTTGAAATGAAATGATATTGAAAGTTTTCTTAGTTTGAGAAAATTTATACACACAGATTTCATATATGAATGGTTATATATTATATATCAATAGTTATAGATAGTGATGTGCCGGATATCCGTATCCGTATCCGTATCCGCAGATATCCGAGGGAAAAAAAGATCCGTATCCGTATCCGTTACTTTTTAGCGGATCTTTAACGGATCTTATATCTTAATGAATTTCATTACTTATATGAAATTTTAAAGATAGGTAGCAATAGCACATTCGTCATTTACTATCGTAAAATATTTCCATATTACACTACTAAACTTTTTTGTCGACATTGTTTTTATTTTAATTTAACTCAACACTCTCCAAAAACACAAACGTAATCTACGCTATCCCGTGTCACACTAGCCACAAACCAGTGTTTCCCAACGTGGGGCCCACGCCCCACAGGGGGCAATTGGATTGCTAAGGAGGGCAATTCGAAAATGGACTTGTCCAGAGTTTAAGTTAACCGTATAGCCGCTGTATATGTTAGGAAGACATAAGAATTTTAGAAAGGCTTAGGTGGGGCATAGCACAAAAAAGGTTGGGAAACACTGCACTAAACTATTGTGGCGGTACGCTATATTTTTGTAAATATAGTCGGCGAGTCGGATGGTAACACTATTCCGTGCTCATTTCAATCGGTCCGAATCGTAGGTGGACGAAAGTATGAAATAAAATGGTTCAAATTCTTACAAGATATTATTATTATTTATTGTGAAATTTTGCCGCCCCCTAAAAAGTGCCGCCCGGTTCGGGCCGCCCCTGTCGTCCCCCCACGCTACGCTACTGACTGCGAGTCGTATTTTCAATGACCGGATAGTTCAGAAATAAGTTCAGAAAAAAGATCCTGTTTTAAGGTCATATTGACGACTGTGGAAGAAAAAATCCTAATTATTGAAGAAGAGAACTGGCCAGTTATAGGAGAAGGACGTGTGTTATCCCACCCAACAGTACGCATAAAGAAACAAGCCGAAAAAAGGGACAAAACCCCAGATATCCCTATTTCTATCTTATCTACCATTTTTTCTGTCTTCTTAATTCTATCCCTTTTTCTGTTATTAGTGTTAAGTAAGTGTTTAAGGTTAGTTTTAAGGTTCCGGGTTATATTGTCGCGATCGGGATCTGTATTGTACACGTG